AAAAACCCTTCTTCCGACAACAGGACCAAGGGAAGAAGCAGCAATGATTTCCGCTGACACACTTGATAATTTACAGGTAAATAATCTTGTCTTGTTTGAGTCCAATATGAAACATATCTTTGCGAATAAGGTGCAAAGCTTCAGGGGTGGCCAACTGACACATTTCCTTGGTAAATGGAAAGAACTAACTTCCGACTCGGAAGTCCTTAACTGTGTTAGGGGTCAGTACATTGAATTTTCCACACAGCCCACAAAAAACTTGGTTTCCAAAAGGAAAACATTCAACATCAGTGACTCACTAGTTATTGGAGCTGAAATTAAAAAATTGCTTGACAAAGGTGTCATTGTACCCACTCAACATGAAAGTGGAGAATATATTTCGCCTATTTTTGTGACAAATAAAAAAGATGGATCATCTCGAATGATCTTAAATTTGAAAAGCTTTAACCAGCATGTTGAATACCAACATTTTAAAATGGACTCGGTCTGGACAGCAATTAGGCTCATGACCCCAAATTGTTACATGGCGTCAATCGATTTAAAAGATGCTTACTATTCGGTCCCTATTGCAAAGCCACACCAGAAGTACCTCAAATTTGAGTGGATCAACATGTCGTTTCAGTTTACATGTTTTCCCAATGGGTTGGCCTTTTGCCCTAGGAAATTTACCAAGCTAATGAAACCAGTCTTTGCCACCCTTCGACAGCTTGGCCACTTATTGTCAGGTTACATAGATGACTCCTGGTTGATGGGGACAGTCTGGGATGATTGTGCAAAAAATGTGGTTGACACGGTAAAATTATTAGACAGTTTGGGATTTGTGGTACACCCTGAGAAGTCGGTGTTCATCCCAACTCAAAAACTGGTATTTCTGGGTTTTACTCTAGACTCAGTTAACATGCAAGTCTACCTTACACCTGATAAGGCTGTTAAGCTAAAACAGGCAGCTACTGTTATGTTGCACTGTAAAAAGCCTACTATTAGGGATGTAGCCAAGGTCCTTGGGCTTATAGTATCTAGCTTTCCTGGCGTTGCCTATGGACCCCTTCACTACCGCTATTTAGAACGAGATAAAACTATAGCTCTTAATGCTAGCAAATGGAACTTTGATGCCACAATGTGCATATCCAGCCAAGCAGGTGAAGAGCTTACGTGGTGGATTGAATCAATCGAGACTGCATCCAACCCGATAAATCGAGGAGAAGTAGATATTACCATTACTTCTGATGCCTCAAAACAGGGGTGGGGTGCAGCAACCAGTGATTCTTCAACTGGGGGACTTTGGACTGTTGAAGAGGCTAAGGAGCACATCAATTTTCTCGAAATGTTAGCTGTATTCTTTGCCTTAAAATCATTCAGTACTTTGACTCATGGCAAACATGTTAAGGTCATGGTCGATAATACTACCACTGAATCAACTATTAACCAGATGGGTACAAGCCACTCCCCTAAGCTAAACAAGCTAACTAAAGACATATGGGATTGGTGCATTAAGCACGATATATGGCTGACTATGGCTCGTATACCAGGGTGTGAAAATGTAAAGGCAGACAAAGAGTCGCGTACATTTAGGAGGTGTACTGAATGGTGTTTCAACTGACACGATTTCTCGATGGCTAAAAACGGTTCTTGAAAAGTCAGGAATAGATACCTCAGTCTTTAAGGGACATAGCACCAGGGCAGCTTCTGCATCTGCAGCTGCAAAGTGTAAGGTTCCATTGCCTACAATCATGGATAACGCAGGCTGGTCGAATGCGACAACCTTTGGGAGATTCTACAGGAAACCCATCCTCACATCAAGTAAAGCTTATGGACAACTCCTATTGGAGAACCTCCACACATAGGATTGTTACAAGACATTTGTTACTGTTAACCAGTACTCATTACCACATGTTTGTTGTGTTTATTTAGTTGCTGCCTATTATAGGCAGACTCCCTATGACAATGAATCTGGGAACTTGGCAGCTTACTGTTTACTGCCTTCTTTACTGAAGTGCACTCTGTGCACCATAGACTGACAAGCCATATTGCAGTAGTTGTTTTGTACACATAGTTTTGGTAAATAAACCTGTTTGTGTTTATTTCTTTGCTCATAATTGCACTGCTTTAAAGTCTCACGTGACTCACTAGTGAGTAGGACTGGTGTCGAAATAGAATTTATAAGTTAAACGAGACTTACCTGTAAGTTGAAGTTTGACTGTAATTCTATGAGATACCAGTCACGAACTAGGGAGTCACGTGCCCTACCCCTTCACTTGGTGACTATGTAGCACATTCATCTTTTTACTTCCCACCCATTATTGTTTGCAATCATTCGCCTTTAAAGAGTGATCGCTCGGGCTACTCGCACATATCTCACGTGACTCCCTAGTTCGTGACTGGTATCTCATAGAATTACAGTCAAACTTCAACTTACAGGTAAGTCTCGTTTAACTTATAAATTTTGCTGATAATTATTCATTAAGATCCCATATTCCCCTTCGGTCTTGTCTTGCAGGCTTGAGGCTTTGATCCGACAACGTAAATTGAAATAGCTGTAGAGATAATGTAAAGAGACCCCATGAGAGCACTAGTGTTGAAGAGTCCAAGAAACTGCATGCATCAAGAGGTGATGAGGATGAGAGAGATGCTAATAGATGTGCATTAAATGAAGCTGGTGACTCCAGAAGGAACAAAAGGTGCCAGGATGAAATGGCAAGAGGCAATGGTAAGGCTGGTCACAATGGGCAGTTACTGCATGTACTGATATAACAAACCAGGTTGTTTATTTACAAGAAGTGCAATTAGTAGGAATTGCTCTTTAAAGGCTAAAATTAATAATTTATTGTGAATATAATAATATCAAGGGCTGACAAGGGTATGGCTAGTCACACTGGACAGTTGCCAGATTACAGCAAATGAGGTGAAAGCAAGGAATACTACGCATAGGATCTGACACAAAATCTATGTAACATTATGGGGACGTGGTCTCTTGGTTTCATCAAGTAAAACAGTTATTCCTAATCCCAATCCTTGGCGTACTTACACAGAATCTGGGTAACATTGTGGGGACATGGTCAGCTCTTTGGAGTTTGACAGTTTGTGTACTTTTCCTTAGGCTTTGTTTTTCTAGTATTACATTATATCAATAATATGAAAACAATCTTGGCAGGTAATGCAAATGCATGTTTGAAAAACCAAATCAATAACATGGAAAGGAAAATACACAGTACTGTAAATGTATTGTACCCCTGTAATCCAGCTTACTCAAAACTGGCAAGTGTCCGATTGCCTAAGAGAATTCCATAACTAAACATGTGGTGAAGAGTAAGAAAACGAATATGTATGAATTAGAATGAAAAGTCATTAGTCACTTACCACTATATTAACTTGAAACTCTGTTATATAGAGAATGTAAAAAGATCCCATGAGAGCAATAGCGTTGAAGAGTCCAAGAAACTGCATGCATCAAGAGGTGATGAGAATGAGAGAGATGCTGATAGAAGTGCATTAAATGAAGCTGGTAACTCGAGAAAAAAGAAAAAGTGCCAGGATGAAAAGGCAACAGGCAATGGTAAGGCTGGTCACAATGGGCAGTTTCTGCATGTACTGATATAACAAACCAGGTCATTTATTTACAAGAAGTGAAATTAGTTCGAATTGTTCTTTAAAGGCTAAAATTAATAATGTATTTTGAATATAATAATTAAGGGCTGACAAGGGTATGGCTAGTCACACTGGACAGTTGCCAGATTACAGCAAATTAAGTGAAAGCAAGGAATACTACAGATAAGATCTGACACAAAATCTA